TCAAGAGCACTAAGAGGGGGGGGGGGGGTGAATTAGTGCAGCAAAAAACTTTCGACGATTAAAAAAGTGTTCGTACGATAAAAGCGATTTCGGTAGAAAAGCCGATTCGTAAATCTCTTTAACTTGTAATTAAGCGAGATGTAGTTAATGAAAATCTATGAAGGCAGTTTGCAGTTATGATGAAAGTTAAAATGTAAGCGCAAACTGAAATATGATGTTCGTACGATAAAACTGATTTACGTCTAAACGCCGATTCGGAAAATACTAAACTTTGAAACACGATCGTATATGCGCAGAAGGCAGTAAACTTTTGAGGAGGTTTGCAGTAAAGATAATATGCTCAAAGTAAATGCAAACCGAGATTTAGAGTGGTTCGGTCAATCTTGACCTACATCCACTTTTGGCTTCCTCCTCCGACGAGGTCACCGACGTCCACTAGAGGCCTTCCTTCAATAGGCGAAGGCCAACCACCCTTTTACAGTTTCACTCCTTTTGACGGGCTTAGGAGACAACCCTTACAGAATTTTCTTTCCTCTCTTATCAGATTAGAACTTGGAAGAAAAGAGGAAGAAGAACTTTCAACTCATACAACACTTTTGAGCTCTAAAAATCACAAAGTAAAATCAGAATTTCGGTGGTTTCTGGGTGCCCTTTCAGTGCTGAAAGGGTGGGGTATTTATAGGCCCCAACCCAGTTTGAATTTCGAGCTCAAAACTGTCAATTCCCAGAATTTCGGGATCTGGCGGTTGCACCTCCTGACTGAGGCGGTTGCACCACCGGGCAGAGCTCAAAGACTGTGCCTCTAGGTGGTGCCACCTCCTGTCACGGATGGTTGCACCTCCTGCCAGAGCTCGAAGACCAAGCTCAAGCGGTGCCACCTCCTGACTGAGGTGATTGCACCTCCTGCTAGAGCTCGAAGACCGAGCTCAAGTGGTGCCACCGCCTGACTGAGGCGGTTGCACCTCCTGCCAGAGCTCGAAGACCGAGCTCAGGCGGTGCCACCGCCTAGCTGGGGCGGTTCAACCGCCTGGCAGAAATCAGGGTCCGAATGGGTTGATCCATTCGGCCCAATTTGGGTTTTTCAGGGGCCCAATTACCCCAAGATTAAGTTAATGGGATCACCTCCCATTTCCAACTTAATCATTGTGCTAACTACGATATTTCCTAAGACATTTACTGCAACTTGCTCCGGTGCGTCAATCGCTTCTTCTAGCGAGCTTCCGGCTAACTTCCGTCGATCATCCGATGAACCCTCGGTGATGCTCCTACGGACTTCCGGCAAACTCCTGGACTTGCGACGATCCACTTGGCGAGTTTCGACGAGCTTCTTTGGCAAGCTCATGGACTTCTCAGATTTGTTCCCGCAGAACCTCCGACGACTGTCCGAACTTCCGTCGAACTCTCGAACTCCCAACGTGATCATTGTCTTGATTCCGACGCAACTCCTGCTGCATATCTTACTTTCATCGTAGTTAATTCTGCACACTTATCTCAACATATAGATTAGATAACAAATGACAATTGACTTCATCATTAAAATCCGAGATTCAACACCTATATATACCCCACCCTTTCCTGCATGAAAGGGCACCAAAAATCCAATCTTACTCTGTGATTTTTAGAGCTCAAAAGTGTTGTATGAGTTAAAAGTTCTCCTTCCTCTTTTCTTCCAAGTTTTGATCTGTCAAGAGAGGAAAGAAAATTCTGTAAGGGTTGTCTCCTAAGCCCGTTAAAAGGAGTGAAACTGTAAAAGGGTGGTTGGCCTTCGCCTATTGAAGGAAGGCCTCTAGTGGACGTCGGTGATCTCGTCGGAGGAGGAAGCCAAAAGTGGATGTAGGTCAAGATTGACCGAACCACTCTAAAATTGCGGTGCTCTCTGGTTTGCATTTATTCTTGCTGCTTATCTTACTGTAAACCTCCATATGTGCTTTACTTCCTCTTTACTTTTGCTACACTCCTTTACGAACTCGCTTTCAAGTTAAGTTCCCGAAAACGATTTTACGTCGGAAACGATTTTATCGTACGAACGTAGTTTTAAACATCGAAAGTTTTCCGCTGCACTAATTCACCCTCCCTCTTAGTGCTCTTGATCCTAACATGAATTACTTAAGGAGAGTTTTGAATATTATGAATTATTTACGTATTTTTATTATAAATATTATAAGGCAAATAAATTTAACATTGAAATATTTATAAAAAATTAAATATTTTTAAAAATTGTAATGATGTTACTTATACTTTACCCACTGTTTATTATCCTCTTGCTCATTTATTTGTAATAAAATATTTTGATATTATTGAAGCATTAGAAGAATAGAAAAATGATAATGAATTAAATATGATTATTATGTGAATGACAACTAAATAAATTATTTATTTTCTAAATATTCCATGTATTTATCTTGTTGTTTCATCCTCATTATACAATAGATGGTTTCCGTGATTATTTGAGTATTTATTATGAATGTTTATATTTAGATGTTGAAATTAGTAAAAATTGAGAAAAGTTAACAAATGTTGAAATCACAGAAAGTATTTATTATGAATATTTATACTTAGATCTTATTTTTTATTAGATTCTATGAACTCATTTTGAAATATAATTGCAGCCTTTCTTTTAAAAAAATTCGTTTAAAATTCAATCTAAATTTTTTTTTTTTTTTCATGAACTTAATTGCTCGTTGCAAACACTGCTTAAATTTAACAGCAAAAACAAGGAAAGTAGAACACTGCTTCAATTAGCAAAAACAGGAAAATTGCTTAATGGCACCTTTATCCCTACCAACGTGGTCTTACCGATTGTTATACCATTCCTAAAATTACAGCAAACGTGGGGCCAGTGTGTGAACCACTTGCGATAATGACTTCTCCGATCACGATTCAGGTAAGCGGGTAGCTCTTTAAATATAAACGTTCCAATTAGCATTACAGGAGACGATCTAGGAATAAACTAATTGACATTAAAAAAACATTTACCCAACATAAAAATTCATTCATTTTATTTGAAATATTTTAGTAGTTAGTAGATTGTTATATTATATAATTAATAAATCTTAAGTCCAAATCCGTACAACAAACTTAAACAAATTGATAAAATATTTTTAAAAATATAAAAAATTAGATGAATTCTCGGAAAAAAACACTTTTTTTGGGTTTTTCTCAATAGATTTTCTTTTTATATATTTTTTAAAAATATTTCTTATTTATCATAATCCCCAAATACTTGTACCCCGAATAAGATAGTGAATTTGTCCAATCCCTTCATATATTAGATTCATCAGTTAGTTATAATATTTTAAAATAAATTTAGTATTATTGATATTTTCATTAAACCATTATATATATTAAAAATATTATAACGAAGATAAATTGATTCAAAACTTAATGAAATCAGTTCTTGCAAAAATATGATTTCGAATAAGTATGTTTGTTTGTTTAAGAATAATAACAACCAAATAGAAAAAAATTCTCTGTTATAATATTTTGAAATAGATTTATAATAGTTTTTAAAATATTATAAATTTATTTAAAAACTTATAACTGAGGAATGAGATCGGTTCACCTATGGGCATATCTATAAATAACAAAGGAGTTGTAGGTATTATCTGAAAAATATGAAAGAAAGATATCTGAAAAATATAAAGATGGGATATGGCTTAGAAAAAAAAACCCAAAAAAGGAATTTTCTGAGAGTTCTTTAGAAAAATCATCAATTTAAAAAATTTTCCGCACCGAAGCCAGGAGAATGAGACGAAGTGAAAAGGAGGACAGAGGGGTTGCCTTCAATCCCAATCCCACCCCGTCTTCAAAGGACAGTCTCCTCCTTTGACCACCTCCCCACCTCCACCCCCTCCTTCCCTTCCCCCCGTCTTCCTCTACCCTTCCCTCCTCCTCCTCCTCCTCCTCCAATCATCACTCCGAGCACTTAATTCTCCTTTATAAGAAGACATCATCTCTCTACTTTCTTGATCCATTGATGGTTATCCCTCCAAGCCTAACCCCCCAGGGCAGGAAAGAATGGGCGCATGCTTCTCCGCGGACACCAAAGTAAGCGGCGGCATCGTGCCTACTCGCCTTAGGCCGATAGGTCAGCCGCAGAAGCAGCAGCAACCGCAGCCAGAGCAGAATAATCAGGCACCGCGGGAGAAGCAACAGCAGAATGACAGAGGCAATAAGCGGCGGCCGTGCGGGCTTCTGTCGTGTGGCAAGAGGACCGATTTTGGGTATGCGAAGGATTTCGAGAGCCGGTATTCGATCGGGAAGCTGCTTGGGCATGGGCAGTTTGGGTATACATTTGTCGCCACCGAGAACTCCACCGAGGAGCGGGTGGCGGTGAAGAGGATAGACAAGAGTAAGGTAATTCTGCAAACGCTTATTCTTGATTTGGTTTAGGCTAATTTGGTTTTTTTATTATTATTTTTGTTTTTGATCGTGAACTGCATGAGCTTTGCAATTGGGATTGGGGTGGTAAATTGATACTATCATTTTTCTGATGCACACACAAAGTAGGATTCACTCGTTTGCAATTCTAGTATGGTTTTGTTCAGAACTTCGTTGATAGGTTGGAAGTTCTTCTTTATGTCACCCAATGAATTGATGTGATTCAAGAAAGAGATCATTTTGGGCAAATTTGGACATTCACTGTTGCAGTTGATATCTTCTAATTGACTTGAGTTCCCAGGTTCAGTTTCCATAATAAGGTGTATGCTGGAGCTGCTAGGTATACAACCTTTTGTTATGGTACGATAGCTTTGTTGATGATGAACAAAACATCCATCTCGAGTTGTGCTTGTCTTTGAATAGGATAATAAGCTCTGCAAAATTAACCGACTGTGCATCCCTTCTGAGTGAAATGAAAAATGCTTCCTCTTCATTTATGTGAGCTTTTTGTAGGATCAGTTTATCCTGGAAATTTCAGCAAGCTTGTACTTTCTTATGTGGATTTTTATCCAAATAGCAATCATTTGAAATGGTAGGATTGCAATTAGCAGTGTGTAGGATACCCTGGAAAGGTTTGGTTCTGTTTCCCTGCAACACAGTTCAAACTTATGTCTTGAGTGAAAAATGTGATCAGCCAAAAGTGTATAATCTTTGTGATGCAGTAACTTTATTCATGATTAATCATTGTGAATTAAGGAGATTCTTGACTAGCTACTTGCCACGTGCTCAGTGTCCAACTTCGACCACAGCTGGCTCCTCAAGTTGGCAAGTGCTTCCAAGCTCCAAAGTTTATTTATCATCTCAATTAGTGATCAAGATAAACTCAAATTAATTGGAGGACAGATTATTCCTCAAGTTGGCAAGTACTTGCTAACTGTTAACACCTTAATAATAAAGTTGGAAGAAGTCCAGTTAATATCTGAAGAGGAATGAAGAATTTTAGCTTATTAAGGAGATGATAGTCTCGGTCTATCTTGTAGTCTATATTGGAGGTAGGGAGGGGGAGAGAATGATTATTGCCAGAATATGTTTCTGACAATTAACACTTGGATTATGTTCGAGACCTTGTCATTGTGAGGTCATTATAATGTCCTGAGATAAAAAACCTACCTTCACTATTTATTCTTGGCACGAAAAAAAAAAAATTTCAATTCGCCTTAATTCATATATTTTACAAATTCATAGAAAGTTGTCTTTCTATTTTAATATTGGTTGCTCATAAAATGTTTTCTTTCTGCCTTAACATGATTGTAGATCGTGTGAATGAATGTCAAATTTGGGGAATGTAGTTCGGGAGACTATAATTACTATGAATTTGCTAGTTATTGTAAAAAATGACGTAATCGGCGCACGAGGCTCTCGCCAATACGCGGTTTTGGGTGTTAATGTAGTTAATGTACTCAACCTTACCTCTAAATATAGAGAGGCTGTTCTGTGACTTGGACCCTGGTCAACAGTTGATAAACCATTTGGTTGAGGATTGATACCGGCGTGATGCAGAATGGGGGTAAAGTAGAATAGAACTCGAAAGAAAACCGATAGTACAGTTTTTTCGGATGGAAAATGTACGAACTCAATAAAATCGAAAAATAGCTCACCACCTAGTTCAAAATCACAAAGGGATACAGAAAGTTAACCACCATAAGGAAATTAAGCAAGGATACAGAACTGAAAATAAAAGATTCACTACTCAAGGAAGCATCCAAGAGATACAGAGTTTAAGCGAGAACTCCAAGAGAGCTTCTGTAAAATATCATCAGTTTCTAAAGTCCTTTCTAAGTCCTAAACACCAAAATAAATACTAGTGCATGAAACAACCCTTCATGCATTGGGAATTTCAAAATTAAGTGTTTACAGCTACTAACTAACTCCTTTAATGCATTCCTTGGTCATGAAGAAATGTTCACAGCTGCTAACCAACTCCGTTAATGCATTCCTTTGTCATGAAGAAAAGCATCTTGAAACAACTTTAACTTTGTACAGGAAATATGCTGATGAGCTATCATATTTGAGTGAGCTGAGTTGAAGATTATGAGGCATCATTGTTGGCTGAAAAAAATACCATATCATAATTAAGGTTCATATGATCAGATTGTAGTAAATTAGATACTCCCGTGTCAATCTCCCCCGGTTGAAAAAGACTTGTCTTCAAGTCCTTGTTTAATTCAACAACTTGATTATAAAAAGGGCTTAAATCAGCCACATTAAATGTTGGGGATACTCCGTAATCTTCTGGTAGCTCAATCTTATAAGCATTTTTGCCAATTCTCTTAAGCATCTTGAATGGACCATCAACCTTTGGTTTTAGTTTTCCAAATTTGCTCGGTGGAAACCTCTCCTTCCTTAGATGAATCCAGACCAAATCACCTGTATTAAACTCCACATGTTTTCTGTGTTTGTTGGCAGCATGCATGTACCTCTCATTTTGCTTCTCAATGGTTGCTTTCACACCCTCATGCAGCTTCTTTATCTGCTTAGCTCTTTCATCAGCATCTCCACTAAATTGCTTTGTTGTAGAATGAGGGATTAAGTTCAAAGGACTAGCAGGATTAGCACCATAAACAATCTCAAAAGGACTCTTACCGATACTACGATGGATAGAACGATTGTAGGCAAACTCAATTTGTGGAAGAATGAGATCCCACTGCTTAATATTCTTGCCAACATAGCTTCTAAGTAAATTTCTCAAGCTTCTGTTCGTTACCTCAGTTTGCCCATCGGTTTGTGGATGATGCGAGCTGCTGAAATTCAAAGAAGTACACAGCTTCCTCCAAAGAGTTTTTTAAAAATGACTAACAAATTTTGAATCTCGATCAGACACCATAGTTCTTGAAATACCTTGCAATTTAACAATCTCCTTAAAATACAAATTAGCAATATGAGATGCATCATTCGATTTATTGCAAGGAACAAAGTGAGACATTTTTTGAAAATCTGTCAACAACAACCATGATAGAATCCTTGTTCCTTTGAGTTCTTGGCAGTCCCAAAACGAAATCAAGACTCACTTCCTCCCATGGAGTATTTGACACAAGCAATGGAGTGTATAATCCAGAATTTTGACTTCTTATTTTTGTCAAATGACACACTCGGCATTGCTTTACATGTCTTTCCACATCTCTAAACATCTTAGGCCAATAGAAGTTTGATTGAATAAGAGCTAAAGTCTTATCTCTACCGAAATGTCTACCCAAAACACCACCATGAGCTTTAGTTAGAATTACTTGTCTCAAAGAACAAGATGGAACACATAAAGCATTAGCTCGAAACAGAAAACCATCAAGGATAGAAAATTGTTGAAAGGAACCTGATTTGCAATTCTGCCATATTGAGCCGAAATCCACATCATTCTCATAGAGATTTTTGAACGTCTCAAATCCAACAACTTTGACTTCCATTGCTGATAATAAAGAATGCTTTCTGTTCAATGCGTCAGCAACCACATTTTGAACACCAGATTTGTGCTTAATTGTAAAGTTATAAGATTGCAAAAACTCCACCCAAGCTGTATGCCTCTTGTTTAGCTTGTGTTGGTGATTTATGAACTTTAATGCTTCATGATCTGAATATAGCACAAATGGCTTGGCAAAAAGGTATTGACTCCAATGAGATAAAGCTCGATATATGGCATAGAACTCCTTATCATAGGTAGAATATTTCCTTCTTGTATCATTCAGCTTCTCACTAAAAAATACAATCGGCTTTCTGTCTTGACTCAAAACAGCACCAATTCCCACATTAGATGCATCACATTCAATCTCAAACACGTTGTCAAAATTTGGTAGAACTAAGATAGGAGCTTCGGTCATCTTTCTTTTTAAAAGCTCAAAAGCATCATTAGCCTCATTAGTCTATTTGAATTTATCACATTTCAGACATTCGATGATTGGAGCGACAATAGAGTTGAAATTCTTGATGAATCTTCTGTAAAAAGAAGTTAAGCCATTGAAACTCCTCACATCATGCAATGAAGCAGGTGTTGGCCAATTGAGAATAGCTTCTACCTTACTTTGATCCATCATGATTCCATCTTTTGAAACAACATACCCCAAAAACACAACACTAGATGTAAAGAAATCACACTTCGTTAGATTAGCATAAAGCTTTTGCTGCCTCAAAATAAGAAAGATTTCTTTCAAATGATTCATATGCTCCTTTTCGCTCTTGCTGTACACCAATATATCATCAAAGTAAACTACAACAAATATTCCAATGTATGGCTTAAGTATGTGATTTATAAATCTCATGAAAGTGCTAGAAGCATTAGATAGCCCAAATGGCATAACCAACCATTCATATAAGCCTTCTCTAGTTTTCAATGCTGTTTTCCACTCATCTCCGGGCCTCATTCTTAATTGGTGATAGCCATTCCTCAAATCAATTTTAGAGAAAATAAAAGCACCACATAATTGATCAAGTAAATCATCTAACCTTGGAATTGGAAAAAGATAATCCATTGTGATTTTGTTGATAGTACGACTGTCCACACACATTCTCCAAGAACCAAGGTCTGCAATTTCGTACAGTACCGGAGTTTTGACGTTGGCTCGATATGATACGAAACTGTATACCGAGCGATATATCGTTCGGTATATCGCTCGATATATATATATATATTATATATAATATATATATATATAATATAACTCGGCGACGTCGTCGAGGCGACGTCGCCTCGTTTATATATAT